AAAAAAAAAAAAAAAAAAAAGGAAGAATGGCTATAATCAGAAGAAGCTTCACATTCATGACAGGTACATTTTTTGGCATGTACATTGCACAAAATTACAATGTGCCAAACATTGGCAAATTGTTCAAAGCTGGTTTTGTGGTGGCCAAGCATTTTGAGGGCACTTACAGAAAACCAAACAGAGGCAAAACTGAAGAGTTTGAAGAATAGGATTAGGAAATGCGGTCCCGTTACGGAACCACTCCATTGAGGTTTGTAACCGTTAGATCATCATGTAATTGTCGGGGAGAGTTGATCTAACGAATACAAATCCCGACGGAACGGTTCCGCAACGGGACCGTAGCATCTCCCACTAATGTATGTACATATATAATAACCAGCTGCATACATTTTTTTTTTTTTTTTTAAAAAAAATAGGGAAACTTGAATGTATTTTCATGTTTGTGCATATGTAAAATTTGACTTTCTATTTTGTGTACACTAATAAAGTTTTTTCCTTTCTAACATCACTTTGTGTTACATTCCATTAGATGAAATCAAAATGCATTTCAACAAAAGTTTTCAACACATGCATTATAAGAAAAATGAAGACACCTTCTTACAGAAAGATAAACTGAACCCAAAATGAATATCGAGTCGTCTAATTAACGTCAAAAGATATAGAGAATACTTCAATTCTAAAAGAATCAAATCAAAAGATAATTGACATTAGAATAACTAAACGAATTCTCACACGAAAAAAAGCCAACACAGCCAAAAATCCCTGAACCAGGGGGAAATGGAAATTCAGATGACGATAATTTATGGCATCCGAGATTGAAAAAAAAAATAAAAATTAAATAAAAAAAGTTATATTGCATTATAGTGGTAAAATATTTTTTATTTCCCGATTAAATATCCAACCAAAATACCTAAAAGCAGACCGAACACCAGCACTACATAAGACACGCCACTGCCTTGCCCTTTTCTCGTTTGCTTTTTGATCAATTCCTGCATAATCAGTATGTTATGAAATATCATATTTTTATTTATTTGTTTTTCTTTTTATTATGAAATTTCAATTTAAAAGCACGAATAGCCTTGGTGATCCAAATAATGTGTAAAGAATAGTAGTTAGGAAAAGAGACCCCGAAAGTTCAGTTGAAATGTGGCCAAGTTATGCAGATATCTTCCAATGTTTGTCCAGAATGAGTCGATTTTTTGAATTGTTTGTTAGGTTACAATAAATTTACTATTTATCTTTTGTGAGATGGGTCTATCTTTAATGTGCATTAGTATAAACTTATCAGTAATAGGATAAAGATAGATGTGGCTTAACAAAGAATATAACGAAGTTCACAAAAACATGTTGTGAAGTTGGAAAATGAAAAGGGAAAAAAAAAAAGGAAACAACATACCAATTCTCTGAGGAGCCTTTGATTCTGTTTAGTAACAGATGCTTTCTCCTCGTTCAACTTTGAGACGACAGCTGTCCACGACTGAACATAACACAGTTTTTCAATTTAGAATACAAATTCAACAAAAAAAGTCGATAAATAGAAATATTAGAGAAACTTTAGAGGGATGTAATGAGATTATTTTTGAGCTCCAAAAATAAAAAGAACAACCGGCAAATTAACTATTCATAACTGTATATTTTCAGTAATTAGTTGCTCACATAAAACATTAAGAAACGAGAAGAAGCTCTAAGGCATAATTCACAATAGTTTTTTTAATCAACTTCCTAAGAGAAGACGCGAAAATGCATCAATCAGCAACAAGTTCAACTTTTTTCTTTTTTTTGGCATAAGATAGGCAACTACTAGTGCAAGGTTCTTCCTTTTTGCACATAACTTATAGATACACTATAGTAAATCTATTTCATTGAAGAAAATCATAAGTAGTTAGTTAACATTTTTTTGGGGTCGCATGGGGTTAGAAGGGGGATCACCTCAGAAGATGAATTTCCCATGGATTGCTTCAATGAACTTGCGACCTGCATTTATAAGGACCCAACATTAAATTTTTACCATATCTAAGTAAGAAAATAAGCATCAACTAATAAGTAGACTGAAAACCTCAGACAACATGGGCTTCCGAATCTCATCCTCAGCCGAAGACGTCCCAGTCGAAGTCTCTTCCTCGTCTCCTTCAGGGACAGGGGATGGAGGATTAGCTGGAAAATAAACGACTTTTAACCTAATCTCTTCAACTACTTTCCCATCTTCCCTCGAAAACTGCATTTACCACCGGGAAGCAAAAAAAATATAATTCAAACGTAAACATCACAATTCTCAATACACTACCAAATACCAATGGCACTTAAAGCAAAACGAAAAAAAACCCACCATTTCTTGGATAACTTCCTTATTGGTAGTGCCTTGTGGAGCAATCACACTCTGAACAAGAAACTTATCCTTGCACTGCATATCGAGTGGAGCCTCTTTCTGGGCTTGCATAGTGACTACCATAAAACCAAAAACGAGACAATTACACATAAAAACAATAGTTATCACTAATCCAAAGCTTAACAGATCCAATTAAACAAAATTGTATATCCTACTAAACATTGAATTGAAACCAAGAAAAGGGCTGTCACCTGTGACATTGCAGATGGAGTTTGGCAGAACAACACCGGCATTCGGGCGAACACAATAGTTTTTGGGGTTGGTTGTTTTCACCTTTTTTTGTGTTTTCAATTTAAAAGACATGATGATAAATCACACACCCATATGAGTAATTAATTTAAATCAACAAAGTTTCGATTTTTCTTGAGAAATACAAGTTACAACAACCTTAAATGCTATATATTGATCTGTCTTGTTTGACAACTCCATACAGCACGAGCTCTGCTTCTTCAATTCAACTTCAGCCACAAGCCCACATAAAAGCAAACATAAACAACTAGAGTTAACATATCCAGAATGAAAAAAATAAACAAAATTTTTCAGTTCTTTATGTACGATAATCTCAATATTGGGTTTTATTAAACTGTAAAAATCCAATCTTGGATTGACAAAAACCTAAGAAAAAAACTAACAGTACGAGGAAAACACAAAAAAACAACAGCAGCCCTCTACTTCTTCTTCGTTATCTTTTATCGTACAATGAACAAAAGGTGCGAAATTATTACATCCAAAGACAAATCGAGCTTACAAGAGAACTTTAGTTCTGACGGCTGAACGCTGAGAAAATCCCCTACGGCCATGTTTATGAATATTGGTCTGAATCAAAGGAACTCGAAATCGAGAATTACTGAAACGAAAGGGTGAATTTAATGAAACAATTGCTCAAAAGAGTACTTTCCAACGAAAACACCTAAAGGCGATGAAACAAGTTATGGCTGAATTTTCATTTATATTGTTTTTCGTTTTGGTTGGCTCTAGTGGTAAGCAAGGTCTCGGGTTCGAGTCCTTGTGGATGCAGAAAACCCTTGTTGTGAGACTCCTTCACCATTGCAAGGTGTGCGACCTGGGTCGATCAATGGATTAGTCGGAGCATAGTTCCGAATATCGTGGCTGACTAAAAAAAAAATGCTTATCTATTTTTTTTGAATTTTTATATCATTTTGTAAGTTCTGATTTTCTAAGGTAAATGATTAAAAAACGAAAAAATTTCACTTTTAGTATGTTTACTTGTCAAAAATACTTTTTCGGTATACTAGCTTTTCAATCATCAATAATAGTACATTACATTGCAATTTGTATAATTGTTGGGACATTTCTCATCATAACAATACATTATGTATTATTATTGATTGATGAGAGGAAAATTAATGTACTAAAAAAGACTTCAGACAAGTAAATGGACTAAAATTGAATTTTCATCAATAAAAAATAAACAATGGATTATTCAACATGAATTTTCACCTAATGAAAAATCCATCAATGTATATACTTTTGTTTACCGATTTATGGAAAAGGTTTCAAATGTTTTCTTAGAAAAAAAAAAGGCTACAAATTTAATTAAAAGAATATTGCAAATTATTTGCAAGCATAAACAAATCGAATCAAGTCGAGTTTAAGCTTCTGAAACTCGTGTTTTTATTAAATCTAGTGAATTTAACAAATCTATAAAACGAGCAGCTAGCCGAGCTCGACTCTATTCAGAGTTTTAAGTAGACTCAAACTTGATTTATTTTTTGAGAAAATTACCCTACTACGTACCATCCTATCTTTTTATATGGCCCATTATACGAGCTAAAAAAAAATAATCGCACATTAGATTCATGAACTCACATTGACGAGATTATAAAAGTTTCAATTCCATTTTGGTTCCCTTAATTAATTATTAATTATCTTATGTGATTTTTCCTCCATTATTGCCTCTTCACGCGAATAAAATTTTCACCACCGCCTTTCACGCACCATCCGTTGTAGCCGCCTGTCACCCCCTGCGAAGCCCCTTTTCAATTTTCCTCCAGCAGCCCCTGTGAAATACAAGGATCTTCTCTCTGTCCGATTTCGCTATCGAAATAGTCGCTAATGTCACCCTCGATTCGAGATCTTCTCTCTGTCCGATTCCTTTCTCACGCCGTTGGCGCCACCGTCACCGTAACTCGTTAAGGCGCAGGAGTTGGGAATCGAAAAGGTGTGCTTTACTAAATTATTTGGATCTATAGTTGTGATTTACTGATTTAGGGTTTAGCTTTTTTCTTTTTCTGGTTTTGTTGTGGGAATTTAATAGATTGATATTAGATCTATGGTTTTCTGATTTCGGGTTTAGAAAAATGCTTTCTATTTTAGTTTCCAACTTGTTTTGTGAGAAATTGAAATACAATTTTACTGTAAAAACATGATTTATTTATTTTTTAATTTATTTATTTTTTCTGTTATATTTGATGTTATGTGTTTGTGTTTCTTCCTTATCATCTAATTAATTCTTTCTGTGTATCTATAGGGAAGAGACAATGAATGCATATTGCTGCCGTTTGTGAGGTCGTGTGTCCAAAGAATGATAATGCATTCTTTGCTTGGATTTTTTTTATAATTTCTTCTCATATTTATTTTGGTATTTGCAAAAGTGTATAAACTTGATGTGAATAGGGAGAAAGTTGTTTGAACATTCTGGGTTTGTCTTCGTGTGATATGTATATTTTGAACAATTTCAAGAATTAAATTTATTTGATAATTGTTGTAATACAAATTGTTATTTCAACAGTTATATTATGTTTATTTTTGCGTTTGTTTTTTATTTATTTATATTCTTCAATTTAGTAAAAAAATAAATAATAAACTTAAGATAAATCAAAACTGTATTTAGTTTTAAATAAAAATATTTGAGAGTTGTAACTAACACAATATAAACCTAAAACCATAAACAAAAAA